CGTTTAAACACACAGTGGCTCGGGCGACTTGGTCCGCTCCGACCGCTCCTTGCGCTTGCGGCCGGACCGCGGCGCCGGGGACGCAGCCTCGGCCGGCTCCGCCGCCGGCTCTGCCGTCTTGGCCGTCGACGCCACCAGCGTCGACGACGAGCCCTTAGCCGGCGTTGAGAGCGTCGACGAGCCCGGCTGCAGTGTCTCGGCCTCCAGGTTGAGCAGATCGTCCTGCATGTCGTGCTGGAGGTTGTCGAGGAGGGTCAGGAGGTTGTTGGCCTTCTCGCGCCACGCGTTGGCCTCACGCTCGTCATCCGCATCCACATACGTCCGCGGCGGCGGCCGCAGCTTCAGCTCGCGGTTCTCGGCACGGAGCTTCTTCAGCTCGGCATCACGAGCCTCGAGCTTGGCCGACAGCTTGCGGTTCTCCTTGGTCAGGGCCTCGATCTACGGTGGTGATCGATCAAACGAGGGTGGGGGAGGAGGACGGGTGGGGGGGGGGTGAGGCAAGGGAGGAACAGAGAGGGAGGGCGACAGAGGCGGGGGCGGGGGTGGGGGGGTGGAGCGGGGGGAACGGGTGATGGGTGGACGGTGCGGGGGTAGTGGCAGCAGTGGGTGGCGGTGAAGGCTCGCGGAAAAAAAAGGTCATTTGCCACACCAGACTCTGATCATGATCAAGCCGGAACAGCAGAAGGCGGGGGAGGCGGGGAGGAGGGGGAGGGTGGGGAAGGAACTGGGTAGAGGGTAGCGGGGTTGGAGGGAAGGAGGGGGAGGTAAAGGACCCACAAAGTAGGTGACGGCTGTCTAGTGTCATCTCTCACGTACCTCACGCTGGAGCTGGGAGACTTGCTGTGGTGGGTGGTGAGTGCTTGGTAAGGCGGGGGGGGGGCATGCGTCGGTTGGTTTGGCAAGGGGTGGCGTGGTGGTGGTGGTCGCAAACACACTAGGAGAGAGAGAGAGAGAGGGGAGGGAAGGGAAGGGGAAGAGAAGGGAAAGGGGGAAGGAGGGAAGGGGGAGGGGAGGAGGGCGTACGTCAGACATGGCTGGGGAAGGTCTCGAGAGGGGTGGTCGTGCAGTGGTTGGCCGGGGCGGCTGGAGTGGCCGTCAGTGGCCGGGTGCGGCCCGCCAGAGAGCGGGAGAACGAACGAAAGCATCGAAACGGTAATCGATGGCAGGCAAAGCCAAAGTTTGGCTAATGGCGCAATCAGCGAGAGTCCCGAGTCAGAGACCGAGCCAGTGCGCAGACGGGACAAGCCGTGACGGCGGAAATGATGTCGATGCGACGCAACGATGACACTTGGGATGGTGGGCAAGATGGCGAGGTATTCAGCTTTATCCCTTTACGGTACGGAATGGACAAACTTGTCCATCGCGCAAGCCGCGCTCCGCGACGCACCGCAGACGTCGCAACGTCCATCAATCGCAGTGGAAGAGTAGTACAGTGTGTTAACGGCTGCTGTAGCCACTGGTGGGCTGCAACAGAACACAGTCGGCGATCCAGAGATGGACGCCGCGCGCGGCGCAAAGGGTCCGCGGCCGCGATCGCTCACCATGAAGCATCCGGCAGGCGAAGCGGCTCGCTGGGGAAGGTGGTGATGACGAGCAGCCGGTGCAGAGGGACGCTTCCGCTTGCGCGACGGCGCGGAGCTGACGGCGTCGGCACTGGCGGCGAGGGCGCGTAGCTGACGGCGTTGGCACTGGCGGCGAGGGCGTCGATAATGTCGTAAGGAAAAGCCACGCGAGCTATGGCGGGGCGTGGGATCGTGTTAGTGTAGAGCACGTACGCAGCGTCCAGAATCCAGTACAGGATGGCGTGCCACCACTTGCGCGGCCACGCCGACCGGCAAGCTCGTCCATCGCAAGGCGTCCTCGCGCTCTCCCGTCCGGCCGCTGTGTTCAACTCTGTCATACTCTCCTTCCCGGTCGTCGGGGTCGTCAACGGCAAGCTCCGCACCGTCCGCGCCCGCCGCTCTTCCGGATCGGCGCCGTACGGCACCTCGCGCGCCTCGCCCATGCTCCTCGGTCGGGCATCCTTCAGGCGGGCGTCCACGTGTCGGCCGCCATCACGTGCGGGCGCGCCTCCCACCGGGAAGTCAAGCATCAGCGAGATGTCCACTTTGAGACGCACGAGGACGCGTCCGAACGAGCGTACCGTTAAGGGATGAACGATCAGAGCTTGAAGTCAAGCATCGTAGTGAGCTTCGAATGCTCGCGGTAGAGGCCGCCACCGAGCAGGGGGACGCCGGTCGCGGGTGGGGCTACCTCTCTCACTCTTGCTCCCTCTCCTCTCCTCCCCCCGAGACGGAGCAATGCGTGGGTCTTCGTCGTCCACGCCGCCACCACGACGGAAGGAGCATGTGTTTGACGCCCGTGCGGTGCTTGCCAACGCGCTGAGCGCTGGTGAGGTGGCAGCCTTTGAGCGGCACGTCATCCGCCACGGGGTCACCACCCTCATCGCCGACTTGGTGGCGGCTGGTATCTCGGACGATGCCATCCAAAGGGTGGTATACGAGCTCGAGTCGCGCCCGCGAACTGTCGGCCTCATTGTCGAGCGCCACATCACAGAGGCCGAGCGACTGCGGTTCGAGGCCGTCGTCGCTGGCGGCAAGTCATCGCTGGGCAACGATCTGGCCGCCGCTGGCGTGGCTCCGGGCACCATCCGCAACATCCTGGTCGAGATCGAAAACACAAAGTACATGTTCCGCGTCCGCAAGGAGCTCGAGAGCGCCCTCGGCCCCGAGGCCTGGGCAGTCTTTCAGACCCACATCTTCACCAAGGGCAAGACCTCGCTGCCGGCCGATCTGTTCTCCGCCGGCGTCGTCTCGGCCGAAGACATCGAGCCCATCATGAGCAGGGTCCGCCTCGCCCGCATCGAGGCCGACAACGCCATTGCCGCCGCCACCCGCGGCCTCGCCGCCCCGCCGCCGCCGCCGCCCTCGCCGCCGCCGCCGCCCTCGCTCGCCTCGGTCCTCGAGCTTGTCCTTGACGCCAACGAAATGGCTGCGCTCGTGCATCACGTCGCCCGGAATGGCAAGGGTACACTCATGGGCGACCTCCGTGCGGCAGGCGTCTCCGAAGCCGCCATCGCTACCGTCATGGCTGCTGTCGCCGCCCCTCCCGAGCTCGACACCATCCTTGCCCACGAGCTCACCGTCTCCGAGCTCAAGGCGCTCCGCAGCTACATCGCTCGTCACGGAAAGACCTCGCTCACCGCAGACCTCACCGCCATCGGCGCCGCACCCACCCGCATTTCCGCCGTTGTCGAAGCCTGCGCCAACACCGCGGCCTCCCTCCGCGCCGCTCTTCCGCACAACCCCAACGCCAGCGCCTCGACCATCTCCACCTCGTCATCAACAGAGTAGCAAGCTCGAGTGATGGTGCCATTGTGTGCCGCATCCGACTCGACGCCGCACGCGGTGACATTGTCGGCGCTGCACCTGTCAAAAAAGCCAACCACTCCACTTGTGCCTGCACCAGAGAGCTGGCGACGTAGCCATGCCTGCAGCCACACTCATTTCCACCGCCATGGCCGGGGGATTACTCATAGCAGCAGGGTGGACAGCTACCGCTTGCTGTGGCGCTGGCCAAGTTGCAGGTGCAGCTGTGCTCGCCATGGGCCTCTCGCTCGCCCTCCTCGTGGTGCCGTACCCTGGTCTGGCGTACCCAGTCCTGACAGCAGTCACGGGCGCTGCATGCGTGTGGGCGGGAAAAGAAGTACTCGCTCGATGCAAGGCTCCAAGGGGATGGGAGGATGCGTTTGCCCGCGTTGGTCGTGCTCTGGGTGCAGATGGCTCCTCTGATCGTGCGCGTCATCCAGTTATTCATCAGCTGGGACGGGCGCTCATCGTCGTTGGCGCGCTCGCTACTCTCGGTCTGGACGCCTACTTTGACGGCAACGAGCCGACGAGCCAGGTATTGGCACTAGCTGTGGTAGGCATCGTGATGCTGGTGGTGGCGCTAACTGCTGCACTTGCAGGCCGGGCTTGGATCAATCCGGCTGGAGGATGGATCGCTGCCGCCGGAGCTGTCCAGCTGACGGTGGTCAACGCGCGGCGGCTGGTCATCCACGCGCTCGACCCATCGATCTCGGTGCTCCAGTGGTACGCGCTGGCGTATATTGGGTATCTGGTGTCGAGTGTCGAGTTGATGATGCGAGCGACGAGGACGTCGTCTGTGGCGGACGCCGGCCTCGGCTACCTCGTCTGTATCCGGGCGGCCACCGCGCTGCAGGGCATTGTTCTTGGCCGCGCTGCTGATGGCGCAGTGGTGTCGTCGACAGTGCTCCCAATTCTGGGCACGATAGCTATGACTGCCGGGCTCATCATGGTTTTCGCCATCTCGCGCAGCCTGGCGGCCAGCAGCGGCGAGGCGCCGCTGGTCGGCGTCGAGCTCTCGTCAGCATCGTCGACCTCATCAGCGTCGTCGGCCTCGGAGCTTTCGTCGTCGCGATTGTCGTCTATGCCAGCACGTGGGTCATGCTCGTGGGCGCGAGCTTGTTCCTTGTGTGCGCTGGCTGTGGCTGCAATTGTTGTGTACGGACTCGGGGTGATCATTCCGGTCTTTGCGCTATACCGCGGGTGCCCGGCATCCCACGGTCCGATTGCGGTTCATCCACCGCTGCCTGTCTTTAGTACGTCCAACGGCGGGCTTCCGCTCAACGCGACGATGGTTCACGGGAGCCACAACTCGTTTCATCTCCTCCCGCTCCCCAACTGGCCAGGCTACTCGACCGGCGCCGAGCACTGGCTGTATCAGCACGAGACGTTGGCGAACCAGCTGGCGCACGGTGCACGCGCGTTCGAGCTCGACGTTCACATGCGAGGCAGGTCCGCCGCAGTCTTCCACATTCAGCTGTGGGATGATCAAGCGAGCTGTAGCTGCCTGGTGGAGTGCCTTCGCGAGATGCTGGAGTGGTCGCTGGCGCACGAGGGTCACTCGCCGATATTTGTGCAGCTCGAGCTCAAGATTGACCTCAACGTGGACATTGTGCAGCAGATGGCTGGCGTTGGCATGGATGATCTTGTTGCTGTCGAAGAGATGATTCTCAGCGTGTGGGGCAACCGCGTGTTCCGGCCGGACGACTTGCGCGGTGGGTACGCGACGCTCACCGAAGCTGTGGCGCGTGCAGGCTGGCCTAGCCTCGACGCCATGCGCTCGCGCATTGTATTTGTTCTCGATGATACGGGCGCGGTGCGGGAGACGTACGCGGCGGGCTCGTCGAGTCTGGAAAACCGGGTCATGTTTACCCTCACTGACGGCGAGCTCGACGGGCGTGACGACCTCGCCTACGCCAAGTTTAACGATCCGCAGTTCGGATCGCTCATTGCCTCGGCCGCCCGCCGCGGCCTGATGATCCGGACCCGAGGCGATGTCAACGAAGACTTTACCCCGGCCGAGAAGGAGTCTCCCGCCCGGCTAGCCAACGCGCTCGCCTCGGGCGCCCACTTTATTTCGCTTGATTGGTTCATCGTCCGCAAGTGGACGACTGCCACCGCCGACGGAGCCGTCGTCGCCGCCGCCGGATGCAACGCCAACCCCGGCATGGGACCCACATGGCCCGATCGCCAGTGTGATGTGCTGTCGCAACTTTAGCCTGCCGCGACGCCGGGTTCGCCGTTGTTGAGGTCCGGCATGGGTCCATCATTGCCGGATCGTGGCTGCAACGTGGTCCGAAGACCTGTCGTCGTTGATGGCCAAAGGATGTGGCCATGGGTGGTGGTACCTTACTATGTAAAGAACGTTCGACGGCATCGACGGCATCGATGGCATCGACGCTGCCTTGGGCATCGAATTCTCCGACCTTCGATGGACGAGCAGCACGAAAGCCGACCGATGAGACGTGGAGGCGAGGTGGACAAGGACAAGCACCACTCGTCACCAAGGACCACCATGCCCACGTTTGTTGTGACCAAGTCGCCACTCGTGGAGGTTGTTGCCGCTGTTCTCAACGCTGTTCTCCCTACAACTGCTCGCATTACTCTCAACCAGACCGATGCCCATGCCAACGCCCCGCTGACCCTCACCCATGTACGAAGACAGGTCGTGGATGGAGGCAAAGAGCGCTCCGACTGCCACCACCAAGCACACACACACGCACACACACATGCACACACACATGCACACACACGCACACACACACACACACATGCACACACACGCACACATGCACATACTCCCACATCCCCTCCCCCCCCTCACTCTCCCCCCTCCTTCCCCCCCCCCCCCCCCCCCTCCCCCCTCCCCCCACCCCCCGCCCCTCTTCAACACACGGCTGCTGCACAGGACAATGGCGTGGAGACGGGACTGGTGGCTGTCACGCGGTTTATGATTACCGAGACAGGAGCTCCGCTGGATCTTCTTGGTGGAGATGATGCTGCAGTCCAGGCTGAGGTCGCCGGATGGATTGACTTTGAGCCGGCGGCGAGCGCGGAGCAGCTTGCGGTGGTGCTCGATGCTCACCTCACGCTGCGGACGTACATGGTGGGATACGCGCCGACGCTGGCGGATCTTGCGCTGTGGTTCCGGCTCCCGCTCAACGCGGACAAGGCTGCCACGCCGTTTGTGGCACGGTGGGTTGCCGGCCTCAACGCCATCCCCGAGTACGGGCGTGGAGTCAAGGGCAAGAAGGCGGCGGCCAAGGCGGCCAAGAAGGCAGCCAAGGCCGGCAAGGCCGGTAAGGGCGGTAAGGGCGGCAAGGGTGGAAAGGGCGGGAGCAGCAACAAGCCGCTGGACGTCCAGCTGGCCGAGCAGCAGGCGCTGCTGGCGGAGCTCCAGGCAAACGACCCGGAGAACAAGGGCGCGATGAAGCGGGCCGAGGGCCTCATCAAGACGCTGACCAAGCGGATTGAGGCGGCAGCGGCCAAGGAGGCGGCGGCTGCGGCTGCGGCTGCCGACGAGGCGGCGCCGTCCAACTACATGGAGCTGCCGGATGCGGTGGACGGGCAGGTCGTGACGCGGTTCCCGCCGGAGCCGTCTGGGTACCTGCACATCGGGCACTCCAAGGCTGCGCTGCTCAACGCGCACTACGCTAAGCAGTACAACGGCAAGCTGCTCATCCGTTTCGACGACACCAACCCGTCGAAGGAGCGCGACGAGTTTGTGGACAACATTCTGGCGGATCTGGCGACGCTCGGCATTGTGGGCGACGCCATGTCGCACACCTCGGACCACTTTGAGCTCATCCAGGGCTACGCCGAGACGATGATCAAGAAGGGCCTGGCGTACGTGGACGACACGCCTGTGGACGTCATGCGCGAGGAGCGGATGAACCGTGTCGAGTCTGCGGCGCGCGGCAACAGCGTGGAGCGCAACCTCGAGCTGTGGGCACACATGCTGGCGGGCGACGAGACCGGGCTGGCGTGCTGCCTGCGCGGCAAGGTGGACATGAGCGCCAACAACGCGTGCATGCGCGACCCTGTGTTCTACCGGTGCAACCTCACGCCGCACCTTCGGACCGGGACCCAGTACAAGGCGTACCCGACGTACGACTTTGCCTGCCCGATTGTCGACTCGGTCGAGGGCGTGACCCACGCGCTGCGGACCAACGAGTACCATGACCGCAACGAGCAGTACTACTGGGTGGTGGACGCGCTCGAGCTGCGCAAGCCGCTGGTGGCCGAGTACTCGCGGCTCAACTTTGAGTACACCGTCATGTCGAAGCGCAAGCTGCAGTGGTTTGTCGACCAGGGCCTTGTCGAGGGCTGGTTCGACCCGCGGTTCCCCACCGTGCAGGGCATCATGCGGCGCGGGCTGACGCTCGAGGCTCTGTGGCAGTTTATCGCCTCGCAGGGCGCGTCGCTCAACACCAACACTCACTCGTGGGACAAGCTCTGGGCCATCAACAAGAAGATCATCGATCCGGTCATTCCGCGGCACGTGGCTGTGCCCGTCGACTCGCGCGCGGTCCTCACCCTCACCAACGTGGCAACGACCCTGGTGGCGACCAAGCCGGCGCACCCCAAGAACCCAGAGGTTGGAACCAAGAGCGTGGTCTACTCGTCCAAGGTCTACGTCGAGGTCGAGGATGCCGCGCGGTGCTCGCCGGGCGAGGAGGTCACCCTCCTCACCTGGGGCAACGCCATCATCGATGAGGTCAACACCGCCGCCGACGGTACCATCTCGCTCGTCGGCCACCTTCATCTCGAGGGCAACCCGAAGGACACCAAGATCCGCATGACTTGGCTCTCCGCCGAGCCGCAGTACACGGTTGCCGCCAAGCTCGTCGAGTACGACCACATTATCACCAAGTCCTCGCTCGACCAGAACGACAATGTCGCTGACCTCGTCCGCGACCCGTCCAAGTTTGTCACCGACGCCGTCGTCGACGCCAACGTCGCCGCCCTCCCCAAGGGCGCCCGTCTCCAGTTTATGCGTCGCGGCTACTTTATCGTCGACAAGCCGTACCAGTCCGAGTCGTCGCCTGCCGAGCTCATCTACATTCCCGATGGCAAGCAGTCCAAGGGCTCCGTCCTCTCCTCCAAGGTCACCCTCTGACCCTTGACGGTACGCTCGTTCGGACGCGTTGTTGTGCGCGTCTCAAAGTGAACAATTCGATGATGCTTGACTTCCCGGTGGAAGGCGAGCCCGCACGTGATGGCGGCCGACACGCAGACGCCCGCCTGAAGGATGCCCGAGTTGACGTCGCCGTGACGGACGCCCGGTCGCACGCGCGAGGCGCCGTGCGGCACCGATCCGGAAGAGCGGCGGGCGCGGACGGTGCGGAGCTTGCCGTTGACGACCCCGACGACCGGGAAGGAGAGTATGACAGAGTTGAACACAGCGGCCGGACGGGAGAGCGCGAGGACGCCTTGCGACGGACGAGCTTGCCGGTCGGCGTGGCCGCGCAAGTGGTGGCACGCCATCCTGTACTGGATTCTGGACGCTGCGTACGCGCTCTACACTAACACGATCCCACGCCCCGCCGTAGCTCGTGTGGCTTTTCCTTACGACATCATCGACGCCCTCGCCGCCAGTGCCAACGCCGTCAGCTCGCGCCCTCGCCGCCAGTGCCGACGCCGTCAGCTCGCGCCCTCGCCGACTGTTTTCTGTTGTGGCAGCCATTAACACATTGTACTACTCTTCCACTGCGATTGATGGACGTTGCGACGTCTGCGGAGCGTCGCGGAGCGCGGCTTGCGCGATGGACAAGTTTGTCCATTCTGTACTGTAAAAGGAGGAAGCGGTCAGTCGCCGAAGAGCTGCCCAATCACCGCCCGCACGCCTCCCGTGCGCTGCTCGCACGCCGTAAACGCGGCTCTCGCCAACCACTCCCCTTGCGCCTGTGCGTGTGCGTGTACGTGTCCGTCACAGCTACTTTATCGCCGACCAGCCGTGTACTCCTCTGGGCTATCGCCTGCCGATCACATCCACTCTGCCGAGAGCAAGCAGGGTGGATAAGCCACATCACAAGCCCGCCTCCGTCTACGCAGCGTTGTCAATGCGCTGCTGAGTCCCGCGAATAGCATACAGCACGTCATCAACCGAGCCAGCCTCGGGACCAAACGTCTCCTTGGCGCCATTGGTGTACTCGACAACCACCGATGCCGGCTCGTCGCCGGTCGTCACCTCGGCCGCCACGGCGCACTTTGAGTTGGACGCCTTGGCCGAGTCGGTCACCACCCGGTTGAGCAGCAGCCTGTGTCCCTCCAACACATACACATACACATACCCCCGCACACACTGTGAGTCTTTCCGTGACGTTGGCTACGCCATGGCTCTCCTGCAGGCGATGCGCTCGCCGGCCGAGACCGGCCCGAGAAAGGCCGTGGCGATCATCCTCGGGCGAGCTTGGGGCACGTACCGTGCCATCTGGGCCTCCTTGCCCAGGGCAGGATTGAACCGCACGCTGAGCGACGCAATGTGGCGCAGTGCCATCGTTATGCGAGCAGAGAACAGAGTTGGGTGTGGCCCCAGCATGGCCAGTGCAGCCGTGGTGGGCGGTGGTGGGCGGGGTGACCGGCGGTCTTGATCAACCCTGTCGGTCAGCAAAAGGCCGTGAACGCTCCATCTCCCAATTGCGCAGCGAGGGTGGGGAGGGGACGGAGCTGAGACCCAGCACACGACTCTGCGAGGCAGGGATAGCGAGAGAGGATGCTGCGCAGCGTGACATGGACTACAGGGCGTGCTGGCGTGGTGGGAGCAGGAGCTATGGCATTGGCGGCGAGAGGAGGAGGTGGCGGCGGCTCGCGGACGGCGGCGACGACGGCGGCCAAGCACCGCAAGGTGCTCAAGATGACCAAGGGCTACTACGGGCGGTCAAAGAACACGTTCCGCGCGGCGCGGCGGCGGCTGGACAAGGCCATGCAGTACGCGTACCGTGACCGGCGGACAAAGAAGCGCGAGTTCCGCAAGTCGTGGGTCCGTACCGTCTCGGCCGCCGCCCGCGAGCACGGCGTCCGCTACGGCGAGCTTGTCCACGCGCTCGACACCGCTGGCGTCGTCCTCAACCGCAAGATCCTCGCAGAGCTCGCCGTCACCGAGCCGGCTTCGTTTGCTGGTCTGGTTGACGTCGTCCGCCCGGCTGTTGTCGACACCCGCGCCGCTGCGGTCGTCAAGTCGACAGAGGCCAATGCTCGTGAGCGTGCCCGCCGCGATGCCCGCTCCAAGGACGCCCCTGTGGAGGAGTACACTCTGGACGAGGTTCTAGATGCCGTCCGCGCTGCCAATCAGGCTGCGGCATCAGGGTAGGAGTGTAAAGCTTTAGGTAGTAGACGGGGGATCCTTAGCGGACAGAGCAAACGTGCGTCACTCGTGCGAGGCGCTGGCAGTTCCCGGCCGCGATAGCCCAGAGCCCATCATCGAGGCGGTGAGGGCATCGATGGTGAGCCAGCCCGCGTCAGGCCCAGCAAAGTACACCACATTATTGAATGTGGTGTCGAGCTCGGCCTGGAAGCGCTCGCAGATGCCGACGCGGACGCAGGCGGGGAGCGGAGCGTCGACGGCACCGATGAGATGCGCCGGCACGTTGCGCGCCGTGCTGGAGATCCGCGCCATCATCAACCGCTCGCCGGGCACGGGCGAGCCAGCGGCGGCATCGACCTGGTCAACCATCCATGATGCTGCGCCGAGAACCGCCGACGCTGCAGAGGGGTCCAACCCCTCTGTCGTCCGCAGCTGAAACGGTGAGACTGCAGACATGCCTTTCTCCGACGCCGGCGAGCCGTAAGGCGTCCATGGCCGCGCTGCCGGCGACGGAGAGCTCGCCGTCGGTGATCGCAGCGCGCCCAATCCGTCCACGGCTGCCGCCGCCGCCACAGCTGGTCCGGGTCCAGCCCACGCCACCGATGGGCTTGATGGCGAGCCTGATGGGTGGGCAAACGCCCGCGCCGCAGCAGGTGGTGAGCCAGACGGAGAGCCGCCCGACCCGCTCCATGCCGCGGTAGGCGACAGCGATGGCTGCGAGCCTGCGCTCACCACATCAGCCGAGACCGGTGACGTTGGTGACGCGGATGCGTACAAGGCCGATCCGCGGGTGCGGACCGTGGGACGAGGACGGCGACGAGCCGAGTGACGTTGGGCAGGGAGTGGGCGCGACGGCGACGGCGATGGCGACAGCGATGGCGACGGCGATGGCAGAGGCAAAGGGTGTGAGGCATGGACCGGAGAGGGTGGAGGCTCCTTAGCCTTGTCAACAACCACTTCTTCGCCTGTGGAAGGGTTGGTGATGCGTATGCGAGTCATCTGCGCGTGTTTGGTGGAAGGGGGAGGGGTGAGTGTGGGCAGAGGAATGTTCCATGACGGAGGAAGGAGGGTGTGGAGGGGATGGGGACGGTGAGGAGGGTAGGACAGAGGGATAAAGTCGAGAGGGGGTGAGGGGACTTACATGTGGGTGGAGGGGGGGTACGAGGGGGGTGAGTGAATTGTTGGGGTCGTGAAGAGGGTTAGGGCAAGGAGGGGAGGTGGGGTGGTGGGGTGGGGGGGGAGGTAGGGTGGAAGTTGTTGTGGTGGAAGCTTTGCCGACATGACAACATAGCGGAATTGGGAGGAGGGAAGATCCTCGAGGGGGATGTCGGGATGGAGACGATGGAGGGAAAGGAGGGGGGGGGTAAGAAGAGGGGGAGATGAGAGATACTACAGTGGCTCCATTGCAATGGCGGAAGCAGGTGATCGGAAAGGCAGGGGTGTATCGCGGTGGCTGTCGGGGGAGAAAAAGTGTGGTGTTTTGTGGTGGCGGGCGAGCGACAATGGGAAGATGTACGGCAAGATGGGAAGGTGGAGCGGGGTAAGGAGGAGGAAGAGTGATTTGTTTCCTCTCTAGTCAGATTGATGGCAAAGCGGTTTGTGTCGTGTTGCAAACAGGATGAGCAAGAGCCCTTAGCCCAAGCAAGAGGAAGAGTGTGTTGTACACAACTTTAATTGCGATCCGAGCTAGATCCCGGGAGGATACATCGACGTTGAAAAGGGCCGCAACATGACGGCACAACAATCAAGATTTTGCAAACCATTGTCAGAGTCTAGCCTTGGGTTGCTGGTTATCTAGTTCTGGCTGTAGTAGCCTGTCCTGCGCAGCCTATCTCTTCCCGAGCATCCACTCGCCAACACGTCGACACGCATTTTTCGGCAGCGGGGACTGGCGGGGGCAAAGCGGGAGGACGGGGTGGACGGAGGGCAGCACCACCTCACTCTCGCACACCATGTCTTGTAGCCACGCAGTGTTTATCCCGTCGTCCGCCGACTCGGTCTGGGCCACCATTCGGTCGTTCCACGACCTCTCGTGGGCGCCCAACGTGGTGACGTCATGCGAGGGCGACGGCGAGCCGACAACGGTCGGGGCCACTCGGGTCATCAACGGTGTCTTTGCCGAGACGCTCACTGTCTTTGATGACGAGGGCAAGACCTTCTCGTACCGCATCGACGACGGCCCGGGCACGCCTGTTGCCTCTGATCTCCAGACCGGCGAGTACATCGGAACCGTCCGGGTCATCGAGATCAACGCCGGGCCTGAGGCCGCAGACGGTGCCTGCGTCGTCGAGTGGACCTCATCGTACTCGACTGTTGACAACGCCGCCGTCAAGACCGTCTGTGATGGCATTTACCACGCTCTCCTCAACGAGATGCGTAACTCGTGCGCGTCGGCCTAATCACACACACACACACCCTGGGCGCGAGAGCAGCCTGATCCGTTTTTCATCACTGTGACCACAGGCCAACCACCCACAGGCCAGACAACGTGGAATAAACCCATTGGATCGTGATGGCCGCTGTCCTCTGCCCGTCCAACCGCCCGCCTGCTCCTCCGCTCCCACGCCAGCCGGCAGCCTTCTTTCGGGCACAGGCAGCCGAGAGCCGACCCCCTTCTGTTGCCTCTTCCCCTCTCCCACCCCACCCCCCTCCCCTCCACCACATACACAACCACAACCACTTCTCTCCACCCCTCCCCACCCGCCCCACCCCACACACACATACACATACTCCACCTCCACACATCCTCTCTTTCGCCATGGACGTGGAGACGCTGACGCAGTCCATTCTCGCTCGGTCGTCGAACCTTGCCGAGCTCAAGGCTCTGGCCAAGCACCTCAAGTCCTCGTCGTCGCTGCTGAAGGACGCGGTCGACGAGCTTCCTGGCGCCCTGGAAGAGCTTGACTTTACCACACACACCCTCGGTGCTCTCTATATCTTGTACGTCCCTTCTTTGCCTTGCCCTCGCCGCACAAAGACGGTCGCCATCGCGATCACGATCGCGATCGCGATCGTGATCGCCTGCCTCCGAACAACCAGGGTGCAGGAAAAGGGCGTGAAACTCACTCTGACTCGGACGACGGCAACTCTGGCGACGATGATGTCGACGGTGGTTGGGGGGAGGGGGAAACAGTGTGGCCTATGGCCAGGCGCGCAAGGACAATGTGAGCCAGGATGATGTGACCAACGTAACCAACTTTGTGCTGGCGGCTGACAAGGAGCAGCTCGAGCTCGCGCCCGAGGCATGCGCGGGGCTGGTGAAGGTTCTGAGCCGGATGGGCAAGGTGCACGGGGGTAAGGCGGTCATCCGCCCACTGATGGAGCTGGCGCGCAAGCTTCCGGGCGTGGTCAACGAGGCGCATCCAGAGCTGATGCTGGCGTGCATCCGATCGGCGTGCTACGCCGTCGGGTTCAAGAGCTGGCTCGCGACGCCGGTGGACGAGCTCGAGCCGGGAGCGAGCCAGCTGCGGCCGCGCGAGCTGCTGCAGTACCTGTACTACGCAGGCGTGGTGTGCATCGGATGCAAGGAGTACGGCGAGGCGCTCGACGCGTTCACGCTGCTGTTCTCGGTCCCGGTCCGCGCAGTGTCGGCCATCTTTATCACCGCGTCAAAAAGTACGTGCTCGCTTCGCTGCTCGAGCACGGCAAGGTTGTGCCGCTGCCCAAGTATGTGCCGGATATGGTGGCAAGGCACCTGCGTGCGTTTGGCGAGGCGTATGACGCGCTGGCGGCAGCGTTTGCGGGCGGAGAGCCCGAAGCGCTTGACGCCGCACTCGTCGAGCACGGCCCGGCGCTGGTCGACGACGGGAACTGGGGTCTGGCCAAGCTCGCCCGCCACGCGCTCACCCAGCGCCGCATCCACGATCTCACCGCCACCTACGTCACGGTCTCGTTGGAGTCCATCGCGGCGTCGGTCGGCCTCGCCTCACCCGACGACGCCCTCGTCCACGTCCTCGCCATGATCCGCCGCGGGCAGATCCACGCCTCGGTCAACGAGGCCACCGGCATGGTTCAGTTCCACGCCGATCCCGAGACCTTTGACGATGCCCGCACCATGCGCAAGCTCCACGAGACGATCGCCGCCTGCGCCGACCTCACCCGCAAGGTCCGCAACCTCGACACAGACCTCTACCTCGATCCGCAGTACATCTACAAGGCCGAGCTCGCCCACAAGACCCGCGGTGCCGGTGAGCTGGAGGACCACTTTGCGGCCACCATCGGCGCCTCGATCGAGCGCGAGGAGTCGACCCCAGGCTCATCGTCCAGTCGCCACGCTCCGTACTAAATCCGGACTAAGGGCGCCAGCATTACCGCTTGTAGCTCGTGCACCGCGACTCGCTGTGGATGGCAAGACACGCAAGCTGGCAGTAGCGTACACCGCAGACGGTGCAAGTGTACGGGCCGATGAGTCCGCAAACGTCGCAAAAGGCGCGCGGTGGCTCGCGTGAGCTGCGGGCACGGACCGTGAGGTAGTTGGGCTTGTGGCTGGCGGCTACGTCAGGCAAGCCACCCAGCTCGGCCACATACCGAGAAAACACCTTGCCGTAGTTCCTCTTGGCTTGCACAATGGCCCGATGCTTGGCACGATCCTTGGCCGCACCCTTCTTTCCAGCCACCCCGTAGACCGACGAGACCATGTCGGCGCCGCCGTCGAGCGGCAGCGTCTCCAGCTCCGTATGGACCTTTGCATTGTTCATCTCCAGCGCAGCAAGCCTCGCCTGGACCCGTCGTGCCCGGCTCCGCAGCGGCACCACCGCAGCTCGTCCACCCGACCGCAGCGCCTTGCGCTTGCTCCCGCTCCGTCCACCCAACCCGACAGCGGTATAGCCGCCAGCAGCAGCCGGCACAAAGCTCATAGGCACCACAGCAGGCAACTCAAGCAGCCCACCATCCTCCCCGCCTCGCTTCCGCTTCCGGCTAGTCGTAGACGCACGCGGCGTTCGCTTCACCCGCCGCGGCATGAATGAACTGCTCTCAGTCGAGTGTTGCAGCTGCCACTGCCGCTGCCCCTGCCCGCTGCTTGCTGCTCGCTGCCCGCGGTCCACGAGCTGGTGCCACAGCTGCGTCGAGTCGCCCGGTTGGCATAGCGACACAAACTGATCTGGCCATGGTGCCTGCCATGGATAGCCAGGAGACTGGATCAGCCAGTTAGATTAGGTGGGACGTGGAGAGAGGAGAGGAGGAGGCGGCTGGACGGGAGAGTCTGTGAGGCAACGTCGGTGGCTGACGGTGGATGATCAAGGGCAGGAGAAATGGAGGAGGGTGTAGGGACGATCTGCGGTTGTGTACGGTGTCTTGTTCCCAACAAAGGTTAAAAATAAGAGTATGACATTGAATTGGTAGTATGGTGTGGTGGATGAGGTGTAACAGACAGCGGATCAGCGTGTGATGGCCGTCATCAGGTGATGCAGCGACGACGAATGATCAGCCGAAACCGGTCCTCGTCGCCGGCAAGGGACAAAGAGAGAGACCCATGGAACACCATCTTCTACCTTTGCCTGTAGACAGAGTATCTTTACCACCTCATACTACTCATCAACACCATGATCGTGTCCGTCAAGAAGGAGTGGGCCCTGCTTGCCTCCTTTAGCGTCTGCGCCCATCATGCCATCGTGCACCCCCAGCAAGTCGGCAGTCGGGCAGTTCGGGCACTGACGGGTGACTCGAGTGTGGTGAGGCAGCGGGCAGACCAGTGACAGGGCGACGACAAGCGCCACGGTCACCACACCTCTTCCTCTTCCCGAGAACAAGAGTAATGGGACGACGAGTGGTGCGGCAGCGACTGGGCAAGGCGGAGGCAGGACGACGTGCGGCTGTGCTGACAGCCATTGTCCTGGGTGGCTGCATCCTCGTCGGCTGGCTCGTCCTCTACACCCCACCTGTTGATCGTATGGCTCTGCTTGCTGCTGCTGCTTCTGCTCCTGCCATCTACCAGAGCAATCTGGTGGTGCCGATTGTTGACGTTTATCCAGATGCAGCCATCGCTGTTGCCCGTGATGCGCCTCTCGCGAGTTCAGATGCCCGCGGCGCTGTCATCAAGGCTGCCCTGCCTGACTCGGCCCTGCCCAGCGAGGCGCATGTGCTGTACTCGAAGCGCGGTGCCCGCCGGTCTGGAGACCTTCATCCTATGGCTCAGTATGACTATGTGGTCTCGGGCCGGGCGCTCGTCACGCGCATGGCTTTTCAGGAGATCGGCTTCCGCGATGGCCAGGCTGTCGGCTCGCGCATCGAGACCAAGGCCTCTTACGGTCCGGGTGAGACCATTGTCATCGACCCGCACACGCCGCATGTCTTTGAGTTTGACGCAGATACCGTCATGCTCGAATGGTGGGCCCGCGAGCCCGGGTTGCACCCGCTGCGCGACGGCTACTACTACATCCCCTACCGCGCTGAGATCGATCCCACGTTCAAGAGCTATCTTGCCGACCACGGCCTCGCCTCGCGGTAGCTCGGCTCTCTCGCGAATGACCAAGCCTCACGCTTGTATCGGGCCAGAATGCCCTTTGTCCCGCTCGACTTGCCTCCGCACGCACACCCACTCCGCTCTTGGCTGTGTAGTAAGCTCTGTAGCCCGATGCGCGGCACACTTGCACACCTGCACACCTACACAAGACACCCAATGGTAAAACGGGAGCGCACCACATCAACGCGTTTGCTGGAAAAAAAGTCAGCTGTGCATCAGATGGTCTTTGGTGGCTTTGCGCGTGCATCTCAAGCACGACGATGGGTTTTGCCCGCGGTCACATAGCCGAGCTCAAGCCCGAGACCGGATCAGGGGTGAAAACGCTGCCATCGTCTCCATCGTTACTCTGACCACCACAATCTGAGGCGTCTACAGCGTCTATAGCTTCCTTGCCCTTGCCCTTGTTCTTGTTCTTGCTCTTGTTCTTGCTCTTGCGCTTGCTCTTGCGCTTACGCTTAGCCTGCGCGTTGGACGCAGCCGAGGTTTTGGCATCCACCTTGGCCCTGGCTTTGGCCGCCTTGGCTGCGACTCGCTCCGCCTTTTCGCGCTTGGTCATGCGGCGCCACTGCGGCGGCTTCTGCCTGTGATCAAACGAAACGCCAAGCGGCGGCTTGTTGCCGACCGCAAACCGAAGAGTCCACTCACGGGCGATCCCATTGTATCGGCGCGGATCAGACTTGTACACCTTAGCAATGGAGAGGACAAGCGGATCGTCGGGGTTGGGTTCGCCCAGCAGCGAGGCGATGGACATGATGAGCTGCGACATGCGGAGCGCCGGCGACCACTGGTCCTTGAGCAGATCGAGACAGATCGCGCCCTCGGCGTTGATGTTGGGGTGATAGATGCGGGTGAGGAACTTGACTCTCGGTGGCGTAAACGGATAGTTGTGCGAGAACGTGATGTCCAGGAAGAACGTCCCGCCATCGTACGGTGTTCCGTGAGGCCCATCCATCTTGGCCACCCAATGCGCCGGCGAGTCGACCGTCCGCACCTGGACCGACTCGTCACCCGCCAGCAACTCGAGCTCCTGCCGCATCCGACATCACATCGTGATGAGTTTCTTCCGAAGCTGGTCCATGGACCCCTTGGTGCCGATGATCGCTCGAAGATGGCCTCAAAAACACTCCCCATTATCATCGGCCTGCACGCATGGAACACTCTCCGCAGTTTCACGTGCACAAGTCAGGAACAACTCCGGGAACAACACCCGCTCTTGCCACGCGCATGGCCCCCACACATCGCGATGGAATCGATGTTCCGACCGCCCACCCCAACTTTTCCCTATCCTCCATGCCTACCTTGGTGATTCGCTTCTTTCCGGCGCTTCCGGGCATTACCGGTCCCTGGCACCGACGCGGCGTGTGAGAGGCGTGTGCCACTCGGGCACCCGTCGACTCTGCCCGATCCCGCCCGATCGCATCCGTGTCGCGAGTCTGACACCTTCGCCACGGCTCAACTGTATGATCGCGCTTGCAACGTGTCCGTCCACCTCAATTCGCCCACCATGACTCACCTCTGCCACCGCATCCCCTGCTCAGCCTCGACCACAGCCTCTGTCTCGACCTCGGGCAAAGCCGCGATCGATCAGCTCTTGATCAAGTCGTGACTGATCAAGACCAGCCGCGTGAGGCCCAAGCCACGTGAGGCCCCCAAGCCACGTGAGGCCCAAGCCAAGTCACACCCCACGCCCTCCCCCCTCCCTCTCCCACTTCCACACATGGGCGACAACCCGTTCTCGTTTGCCGCATACCAAAAGACCGGGGCGCTCCCTCCGGAGCCTGTGGCATCCACCGTCGCAGCCAGCAGTGGTGGGTCTGGACCGAGGGGAGCAGGTGGTGTGGACGACGACGACGGCGACGTTGGCGACAACCCGTTCTCTTTCTTCCGGCCGTCCAAAGCATCGACGACATCGACGACCTCGTCTTCAGTCAGAAAGTCATCTTCATCAATGGCTCCTTCGTCGGCTTCATCGGCGCCATCTGCTGCTGTCTCGGTCTCGTCATCGCTGCCTCCGGTTGCTGCCATTGCGCTGCCACCGGTCGCTGCTGTCGCCTCGCACGATGCTCCGCCGCCACCCGAGCCGGAGCTTCTCGAGGAGATGGCGTCCGGCGGCGGAGCACTCCCGCCGCCAACAGCAACAGCCGCATCAGCATCAGCATCAGCATCGTCTTCTTCCTCCATCGCTCTGCTGCAACGCGCTGTGCGCGCCGAGACGCTTCTGACTCGGGCACAGGCACGGATCGCCGAGCTGGAGGCTGCGGCGGCTCAGACGCCGCCGCAGGCGCTGGCCAAGCTGGCGGAACTTCAGGAAGAGGTGGAGCGGCTGCAGGCCAAGGAGGCCAAAGACCAGGCCATGCTCACCGAGTACATGGACAAGATCGAGGCCAAGCTTGCCGCAGCCAACGCCCGGGCCTCGGCCGCCCGCGCCCGGGTCCGGGTGCTGGAAGCGCGGCTCAAGGCCTCGCGGGCCCACGACGCCGATATCAAGCTCACTGCCGAGTTTGCGTCGACGCAGCTGGTCAAGATTGCCGAGTTTGGCGAAAAGGGGATCAAACAGCTGCTCGAGAGTCTCGGCGACCTCCGGCTTGCCGCCTCCACCCTCACCAACCTCGACCGCATCGCCTCGCTGCCGCGGGACGAGCCCGACTCTGACTCTGACTCTGACTCGTCGTAAGACGTTTCCGACGTCTGCGTGGTTTACACCCTGCGACCCACGGTCGTCGCTACAGCGCCGGAGCCCAGCCGATGAACATGGCCGACAGGTTGGTCTTGGATGTCGCCTCGTCGATCATCTGCTGGACGTGCGACGGCGTCGACATCCAGAACGAGGCGTCGACCATGCGGCCCTCGAGGTGGAGCTCGATGAGGCGGATGACCTTGAGCGCGTGCGGATTGGCGCCGCCGCCGCCGCCGGCGGCATCGCGCGCCGCCGACTTGCCGCGTGCCCACTCGATGAGCGGGTCGTGGATAAACGACTCGAGCACCGAAAGCAGCGCATCCTTGTTGTTGCGCAGCAGCTGGAGCACAATCTCGCAGACCGACCGGAACGGGCCCTCATATCCGGTGAGGCCAAGGCCGTCGACAATGTTGGGGGTGAGCCGGAAGGGGACCAGCTCAGGCGTCTCAAACGAGCTGCCCTTCCAGAAGATGCAGTTAAAGTCAACGTGGACAACCTCGCCGCTCTGCGAGTCGAACAGAATGTTCTCGGTGTGGCGGTCGCCGAGCCCGATGGCTGCGCCCACCATCGACATGACCGCCAGCGATCGCGAGTATGCCGTCCGCGCCTGCAACCACGCCGTTGGTTCGGCAAACTCGGCCAGGAACCACTTGTGCAGCTGCGGCGGGAGCTTGCGCAGGATGTCAGCGTAGAGGTCGATCTGCGAGACGCCGGCATCGCTCGCTTCCTTGTACCAATTCCGGAGCGACGACGAGAGATTGTTCACGCCAATTTCCGAGTAGAACCGGTTGAGAATGGGCCGCAGCGGCACTGTGTTGTTCACCCACTCGATGAGGCCGCAGTCCTCGTTGAGCGGAACGACTGCATAAGTGCGGATGTGCAGCCGCCGCCGCCGCGACTCGGCATCGCGCTTCATGAGCTTGTTAAGCATGGTGTGGACCTCCATGACCCGTTCATCGCGCCGCAGGTCATCTCTGGGCTTGCAGAGGAAAAAGTACGAGTTGCCATCCGAGCCGCGGATGGTCACTTTGCGCGGCCTGGCCAGCGATCGCAGGACCTCGATCTTGTCTGCCACAGACTCGATGCACGGCAGGTCTGCCGGAAACGGGACGTAGTGCGCCTCGGACCCGCTCAGCGGCGATGCCGAGAGCGCTGCCTGCCGCGGAATGACCACGCTCAGCGGCATGATCTCCCTCAGCCGCGGAAGCGACTTGGAGACCGTAATCTCGAACTTTGTCTTGGGCAAGCTTATGTTGCACACCTCGAGGAACGCGTTGGTCACGTCGCGGAACTCGGCAATGAGCCGCTTCATCTCGCCGCCAAACTGCTCCGCCTTTTTGAGCAAGTCTAGCGCACGCTCTCGCCGCACGCCGTTGAGCTTGGCCACCGCCACTAGCCTCCACAGCACCTGCTGCGGAAACGCCCGCATGACGTGCAGGATGATCTGCTCCAAGACCTCGTACACAGACTTGACAGGGTGCGCGATGCGCGAGATGACCTGCGAGAACGCCACCAGCCACTGATGCTCGTACATTCGGCTCAGCAGCTGCAACATGAACTTGTTGCACTGCTTCAACGTCTCTGCTGGCGTGCCGTCACGCGCGGCGCTGCCTTTCCCGCCCTTGGACCGCGGTGAGCCGCTCGGCCCAGCCGCGTGCACATCCATGCCAAAGTCGAGCCAGAGTGTGAGGATCCGCGGCAGCGACTGGAAAATGTGCTCTGCCCCGTAGAGCAGTGACCGCCCGTAGTACTTGAGCACTTGCTGGAGGTATGTGAGAAAGTCTGGGTGCTGGATGTCTGCGCTCGTCGCCATCGTCGCTCCTGCCGAGCTGCCACCCTTCCGTCGCCGCTTCTTCCGCTCCGCCGCGAGCACAAACTGCTTCTTGAACTCGCGCAGGAGGCGATCGTAGTACTGGCCGAGGTAGAACGAGCCTTCCTCCCACTTTTGGTACGTCTTGGTCACCTGTGTGTACCGCTGAATCGTCCGCTTGTACAGCTTGTTCGTTGCCTCCATCCACTGTGCCATCAGCAGCAACGTCTCAGCACGCTTCTTCTCTGGCCCGTCGCCCGCGCTCCCCCGTTGCCACCGCGCCGGCCGCTTTCGCCGGCTCCGGTCCGGGCCGAAACTTCCGACAACGCTCCGGTTGAGAGCTCCTCGGCCTGCTCAATCGCGCGCGCCTCCACAAACGCCGCCTCCTTCTCCAGGAACGACAGTGCGTCCTCCTGCTCGCCGCGCGCCCACATGACCTTGGCAGACTCGACAAACACAGTGAGGCCCAGATCCTGCGCCCGAAGAAGCGATGTCGTCGCTGCAGGGAACCGCTTCGAGTCGCAGTACAGGCCCGCAAGCACCACCCACGCCGCGCCCTCGTCCTGCGCCCAGCCGAGGACGCGCAGTGCCGATGCACGCACATGCAGCGTCAGCGCACGCGCTTCCGTCGAGGCAGAGAGCAGCTCCAGTCGCGACTGCCACTCGGCGAGCAGGTTCCGCGCTTCGGCAGCGTTGGCGCTTAGCCCGCGAAAGGCAAACGCCTCTTCCAGCTCGATGAGGAGGCCGAGCTGGACCATTTCGGTGTACGCACGCGAGTACGAGTCAGCTACGCCGATGGCCAGACTAGCCGCCACGTCGGCGCGCGCTGTCTCGAGCGCGTCGGCAAACGGCGCCGCCTCCTGCGCTCGCATTAGCAGCAAGAGCTTCGAGACGTGGATCTCAAACGACGGCTTGCCGGCTCCACCTCCCATGCTGCCACCCCGCCGCGCGAGTCCGGCCGGAAGGACTGAGTCGTAAAACTCGTGCATGTCCCACTTGCCCAGCCGCCACGCGGCGTGAAGGCCGTACTCGGTTATTGACGCTGCCGCGTCCGCCGTCGTCGTCACAAGCTTCGATGTGATGTGCGCGTTGACCAGCGAGAGCATCAGCTCCCACCGCCCCGTGTGCTGTAGGCACTCGAGCAGGCCGATGACGTACTCGGCGTTCGACGGGTCGACCTCGCGAGCATGCTCGTAGCACGAGATCGCATCGTCCCACTTGGAGCTGTTCTTCAGCTCCAGAATCTGCTCGTCGAGCGAGAGCGACTTGCGGAATGCCGAGAGCGCGACCTTGAGGTCCGGGTCGCCAACCCGCGCAAACACCTCTTGCATCAGCGCAAGCTCCGAGCTCGACAGCACAAGCCGTGCCAGGATCGGCGTCACGTGGTTGATCGTCGAGTTGGACGACGCCGTCGCAAGCAGCGCTGCTGCGCCCTGGCCGCCCGGCCCGCCACGCACCTTGGCCGCAAGCTGCGCCGCCTTGGCCGCCTGCGCCACCACAGAGCCCGGCTGGGCCTCGGCCTCGGCCATCACCGCATGCTTGCTTCGACACGCCGCCTCCATGTGCCACAGCGCGCGCGCGTGAGCTCCGCACTGGACCGAGGCCTGCGCGAGGAGCGAGTGCGGAATGGCTTTCAGCAGCTTGGTCACGCCGGCAAGCGCCCGCGGCGTTTGTCGCCGCCCGACCCCGCTCGCCCCGCGCCCGCGCGCCCGCGACCGCGACCGCGCCGGCGACGTCCGCGACGACCGTCGCTCGTTGTGCTTCCGCGCCGCCGCTTCTGCCCGCCGCTCGCTCGCCACCAAGTCCTCGAGCTGCTTGAGGAGCGTAAAGACGGTCTGCATCGCAGGCTGGACCACGCTTGCCGGCAGCCTGCGGGCCGACTGGCTGGAACCGGCCGAGAGCACCGCCACAATCTCGGAAACGAGCGCGTCAAGGTATATCGGCGTGGTTGCTGTCCGCGAGCCGGCTCGCCCGCCGCCGCCGCTCTCGGGCATGATGCTCACAACGTTGAGCACAAGGTGTGGGAGGAGGACCTGTGCCACGCTGACATCGATCTGCACAATCGCTCGGCAGGCCTGAAAGAGCTCCGCCGACTCACCAGCAGCCATGCACGTGAGCTGGTACGCCCAGCCCGAGAGCCAGCCCTCGTACGACGCTTTGTCGGCGTCGAGCGCCACAAAGACCTCGCCCTCGATCGGCGCCACAAGGCTGACCGTGTAGCCGGTGGAGAGGAACGGTTGCACAATCTCGCGCGCCCGCGTCGAGAGCTTGCGCCACACCGCCACGCCTTGCTGGTGGATGGTATCGCAGTTGAGGAGGCCCTTGGCTCGCGCAGGCGTCTCGGCGTTGCACCCGCCCACGCTCAGCAGCTCCTGGATGGTGTACGAGGCAAAGACCTGCTCGTCGGAACCCTGCATCCGCGCCAGCGCCCGGAGGAGGTGCGTCTCGATGAGCTCCACAATGAGTGACGGCTCGTCGCAAGCAAAGCTGGCCTTGACCGACCCGCTCCGCCCGTTCCGCCGGACAACAAGGGCCGGGTCGAGGGCGCCAAGCGCGCCGAGAGCCTCGCCGGCGGCTCGCCGGTTCGCCTCGTCAGATTCGGTACAGCACTCGAGGAGGGCGGGAAGGAGCGCGCCGACGTCGGCCGAATTCTCGGCGATCTGCCTCAGCTCTTCGAGCTTCTCCTTTGTCATCGATTGTTGCAGTCCGAGCATCGTGGCCACCTGCGCCGGCGGGAGCGTGCCCGACGCCACCAGCACCATGTACCGGACCTTGGGCCGGGTCTTGAGGAGGAGCACGTTGTTGCGGAGAAAGACAAGTGACATGAGCCGAACCTTGGGCGAGTCGTGCCCGAGGCCGCGAACCACAAGGCTGATGAGCTCCTGCAACGGGCGCTGGACGAGCTGCTTCCGCAGCATGTTCGCCATCTCGTGCGCATTGGCAGCGAGCATCGCGTCGATGACTAGCACAAGGTCCTTGAGCAGCGGTGCGATGGCCTCCGAGTTGTCCATAAAGATGCGCCGAAGAATCGGCAGCGCGGCCTTGGGCGCAGCCTGCGCATGCGCCGCCAGAATGACCACCACCGAGGTGAGCATGGCACCCATGGCCTCGACCGAGTACACGTTGAGAAACGCGTTCCACGCCTTGCACGCCTCGGCCACGAGCTCCGGCTGCTCCATGGCCCGCGAGAGCGTCCCCAGAAGCTGCAGCCGCATCGGTCCAATGTGCACGTCCATGCACTCGATGAGCCGTGCAAGCGCAGCGACCACCTCGCGCTTGTTCCACGTCGTCGACGTCTCGGCTGCCAGCGCCGAGTTGGCGGTGTCGAGAATGCCCAGAAAGTGCGGCGAGAGGAGCTTGCCGAGGTCGACCGACCGGAAAGACGGCTGCGACTCGAGCGCGCGCTCACGCCGCAGTCCGTCCTTATCTACCACGTATGCCAGAAACTTGAGCGCGGCAATGGCCGCCGGCTGTTGCGCGTCGTTGCCCAGCTTGAGCACCAGCAGCTTGAGCACGTCCACCATCGACGTTCGCAGCAGCTTGGGCGGCGGCACATCGATGTACTCGACGCAAAAGGTCATCGCCGCCGTGAACGCGTCCTTGCGTTCGGTGAGAAAGTAGACAATAGTGTGATCAATCGCCATCAGCAGCAGCCTCGCGGGGTCAGCCTCAAGCAGTTTGGCAAGCTGCGCGAGGTTCGCCCGCGACTGTGCAAGCACAATGGCCGGGATCGAGTACCGCAGCGTCGAGCGGAGAAAACTCGCCAGCTGCGTGCCAAACAAGAGGTGCATGACAAACCCGAGCTCAGTGCTCGAGTCGGCCAGCTTGGCTACCAGAATCGGCGCGAGATGCGGCGCCACCAGGTCAAGCAGTGAGCCAAAGTCTTCGCCACGGCACCGCAGCATCTGGCTCAGGATCCAGTGCCCATCACCGGCCAGCACATCATCGTGCCGCGACCGCGGCCGCAGCATCGGTGCCATCACCGCAAACACAATGACCGCGAGCACTGCCGGCTCGGCAACCGTCCCCAGTTCGCCGAGCGCACGCAGCACGCTTCGCTGCATCTCGAGGTCGCCAGCGGCTTCGTGCGCATCGGCCACGTCTTTGAGCTCGACAAGCAGCTCGGCGGCGTCGGCCGGAGAGAGCTCGGCGCTGGCTCGGTAGAGCACCGCCCGGCAGGTGGCCCCGACAACAGCATGGCCCTGGGCGTCTGGCGTGGTGAGCGAGTCTAGCGCAACCCGCCACATCGAGGCCCACTGTGGTGCACCCGGCTGCGACGGCGAGAGCGTGTCGCGATCGCTGATGGCGTGGAAGAGCCCTGCTGGGAGGAGAGTGCTCAGCGCAAGCTCCCGCACCCTGCTCGACTCGGCCCGCGCCATCCGCTCTAATGCAGGCTCGAGCTCCGGGAATCGGATCGAGGTGAGCGTGCCGGGCTTGCTTGCCGCGTTTGCCGACTGGCACCAGAAGCACGGAACACGGTGCGTCGTCTCCAGCCGAGCAACAGCAACAGGGTAGAGCGAGAACGTTTTCCGTGCTGCCGAGGTAAACAGCATCGACGCTGCTCCGAGCGCGTTGGCTGCGCCGGGCGGAGCGATGGCGAGCACCGCATCGTCGGGCACTAGCGCGCTGGCAAGCGCACAAACCTGCGCGGCGCTCACCGAGCATTCGGGCGTACCCAGTGGCGCTTCAGCGACGGCATCAGCGACAACCTCCCGCCCGTGCGTGCTCGCGGCGTAGATGCAGAGCGAAGCGCTGAGCGCGCGGCCAAGATCAAGGAGCAAGTCCTCAGACGTTGCATTGGACGAAGCCAGGAGTGCAGCTGCCGGAAAGAGGAACGCGTCAACCTGGACTCGGGCCGTATCGTGGTCGACGTTGCGAAGGAGCGAGGTGATGACGAGCGGGAGCGCCCTCAGTAGCGGCCTCGCCGTCTCTGGTGGTGTGTCCGACTTGATCGCGGTGGCAAACAAGTCGAGCTTGACCTCCAGCTGCGCTCCGACATGCGGGAGTGCAGCGTAGACGGCAAGCGCAGCATCCGGCCGGGTCGGGCCGTCGAGCGAGACAACCGCCTCGGTGAAGAGCGCGCACGCATCGACAAACTCGGCTCGCGAGCCAAGCGCCACAAACGGGAACAGCGACTCGATGCAAGACGCAACCTCGTTGAGCGCGCACGAGTGGCCAAGAACCAGAATAGCGTGCGCAGGCGAGTCGAGGAGAAGAGACGCCGACATTCGCAGGCAGCGCGCCGACGGAAACAGCGCGACCAGCCCAAAGACACTGGCGGCGCGGCGGAGCGCAGCCACGCGCTCGTCCAGACTCAGGTCGTTTGACCGGGCGAGCTCCTGTTCGACAAGCTCGAGGAGGCCGGCGACTATAGCTGACGCTGCAGTCGAGCGCGGAAGCGAGGCGACAGCATGGACTGGCGCCCGCGATGGCGGCGGCACGCCGATGCCAGCCTGGTGCGGCGGCGGACCGCCGCGCCGCTTGTGGGGGCCGCCCCGTCGGCCTCGGCGCGACTGCGAGAGCGCCGCAAGACTGACGTCGTCCTCGGACGCCGACGAGGCAGCTGGCTCAGCGCTGCGCTCGCGGGCGGCAATGAGCGTGTCCGACGCAAGCGAGCGGTCGTGGTCTTCAAAAGAGATCCGCCGCCGCTTTGTGGTCGCCAACCCCGGTTGTTGAGCACTTCGGCTGAAGCCCACAACCATTTGCTCGGCGGCGATAGCTGCGTCAATGTGCCAATCGCGCTCGAGCCGTGCATACCTGGCGGCGCTCGACTCAGAGCCGCAGAGGAGGGCGGTGATGAGGCCGGACGCCTGCTTGGCGAGCTGAGGCTCACCAAGGAGGGGAAAGAGCGACTTGGGAAGCGTCTCGGCGTAGTGGACTAGGGTTTGGGCATGCAGCTCATACTGCGCACCGGCATCGACCATACCGGTTGTCAGCTCGATGATGGCAGCAAGGAGCGCTACCAGTTGCTGGGTCTCTTCTTTGCCTCCGCCGGACAGAGATGCGCTCAGGTGGCCGATGGCAGCGACAAGCTCGGGCATACGTGAGACAAGGAGCGGACAAATGGCAGGGCGGTGGAGGGCTGCGACGATGACCTGGTGGAGCGCGACAAGCGAGTCGCTGCCGACAGCGCAATCGGCGTCGGGCTTGACCAGCGCGAGTGCAGTGACGACGAGCTTGACGTGGGTGTCGTGCGGCGCAGTGTCAAGCGAAGCAATGTACGCAGCGGCGAGCCGGAGGGCACGGGCAACAAGGGTATCGTCGTGGACAAAGGCGATGACGAGAAGGAGCGGCTCGAGGAGGGGGAGCAGAGCGTCGACAACACTGCCGGATGCCGCGGCAGCGACAGGCGTTAGCAAGCCAAACAGGCCCGAGATGTAGGCCAGGATCTGGTCGAACGACGCAACATCCAGAGTCTGCCGTGGCGCCGATTCGCCTTGCTGGACCGGCGAAGCCCCAAGCGAGGCCGGACGCGAGGCGGGCGGCGGTGGCGCATCCTTGTCGAGGCCAAACGCCAGGTCTGCACCGTAGACGAGGATGGTGCCGAGGAAGGGGTCGTCGGGACACTGCTCACCACCCACCACAGCGTGGTCGCTCAGGAGACACACCAGCTCCATCAGCAGCGCCACGAGGTTGGCCACAAGGCTGGTGTGGAGATGCGGGTCACGGGTGGCCAGCGTCTCCAGCAGCAGCGCGAGCATAGTCTCGGCGTGCGGGACGAGCCATTCGGGCGTGCCCTGCGGTGACGGCGCGAGCATGGGGAAGAACTTAAAGAAGGCGAGCGCCACCACGTGGATCGAGTCTTCCCGGGTGTGCCATACCACATGCGGCTCGCGCTCGAGCGTCCGCGTGAGCAGCAGGAGCAGCGTGTGCGCATCCTGCGGGCTCAGATGGCACGCGAGTTGGAGAGCCACGATGCTCTGGAACTCCTCGCGGTACTGGGCCACGTCTGATTGGTCCAGCGAGTAGTTGGCGAGGAGCGAGATCCACTCAACAAGGTCGGCTGACATCTGCAGCACAGACAACTCGGTCGAGTGCCACCAGTCTGTGTAATGAGTCGAGTGTGGTTGGTTATGGGTGTGGGGGCTGGTGGCGTTGTTGGCGAGCCGGGTGGCGAGCCGGAGAGGGCACACAAACCACGACCTTTTTTGGCCCGCCAAGTCGCATTGCAGCGGTGTGGGCAGGAGGGCAGTTTCGACCACCGAGCCCGCGCCACACACCACTCTGCCCAGGGCGCCAACCACGAGAGTGACGCGCCCCAGGCAAGCCATGGACGAGTCGACAGCTTGGTGGCGGCACAGAGGGCAAGCACGGCGAGTTTGGCGACGAGGGCAAGCACGGCGAGTTTGGCGACGACGGCGGGAGGAGGCGGCAGACCAAGCATGCAGAGTAAGCAGCCGAGCAAGCCGAGCAAGCCGAGCAAGCCGAGCGAGTGGCGGCCGAGCAGACCGGGCATGCCGCCGCGACCGGCCAAGACCACGACGGAGCGGTTCTTTGGTGGGCCAGCGCCGTATGAGCCAGGTTACCGGAGCGGCGGCTACGGAAGCGCGGCGACGAGCCGGCGCGTGGGCGGCGCGTTTGCGGCCGGTCGGTACCAGGAGGCGCTGGCCGGGCGGGAGCGAGGGCTGCAGCGTGCGCCGAGTGCGGCGCCGCGTGAGCCGATGCCTGTGCTCGATGAAGAAGCCGCCAAGGTCTGGGTCTATCCCGCACAGGTGGAGAAGCGCGACTACCAGTTTGTGATTGCCAAGCGCGCGCTGCTGGCCAACACGCTGGTCTGCCTCCCGACCGGCCTTGGAAAGACTCTCATTGCTGCTGTCGTGCAGCGCAACTACTTTGACTGGTATCCGCGCGGGCGGATTGTGTTTATTTCGCCGACGCGGCCACTGACCTTCCAGCAGCTTCGGGCGTGCCACGCGCTAGCGGGCATTCCGATGTCTGTGACGGCCGAGATGACCGCGGCGTGCACGCCTCCGGTCCGGGCCGAGCTGTGGAAGACCAAGCGGGTGTTCTACTGCACGGCCCAGAGTCTCAACAACGACATCCGGACCGGTATCTGCCCCGCACATACCATTGTGTGCGTGGTCGTGGACGAGGCGCACCGTGCTACCGGCAACCACGCGTACGTGCAGGCGGTCAATGGCATTGCCGCCGCCCACGCCCAGTTCCGAGTCCTCGCCCTGACTGCCACTCCCGGCTCGACGATCAAGGCTGTGCAGGGTGTGATCGACAACCTGCACATTGCCCACATGGAGGTGCGCGATAACAACGCGCTCGACGTGATCAAGTACACCCACTCGCGCAAGAACGACATCGTGGTGGTGCCGAGCTCCCGCCAGCTCGACCAGGCTCTGGCGCTGTTTGGCAAGACGTGCAAGGAGGCGTTGGACTTGCTGGCATCGAAGCGCGCCTTCTGGGTCCGCGACATTGCAAAGGTCACCTCGTTCCAGCTCATCCACGCCCGAAACGAGTGGCGGATGAAGTCGGGCCGGAGTGCGTCCATGCAGGACCGGGTGGTGATTGAGGGCTCGTTTGCGTTGGCACTCACCCTCAGCCAAGTCTACGCTTTGCTGAGCAAGTACTCGTTTGCCACTTTTCACGCTGCTGTCTCGCGGATTATCAACGAGGTGGCCGAGTTTGAGGCTGCGCGCGCGGCCGGCGACGCCGAGGCCGAGCTCTCGGCGACCAAACTTCGCATCGCCAACACTCAAGCTGTCCTGCAGACAGTCCGACTGGCAGGCTCGTTTGTGGGCGACGGCATCCTGCACCCCAAGATGACCGAGCTTGTGCGGGTTGTCTCTGCCCACTTTGCACAGAACGGAGCCACCGGCACAGATACGCGGATCATGGTCTTCTCATCGTTTCGCGACTCGGTCGACCACATTGTCGACGTCCTTGCGAGTCGGGTGCCTCAGTGCAAGCCGATGCGGTTTGTGGGTCAGGCGGCCGGCGCCGGAGGGGCTGACGTTATTGAGCTGGACACGCCCTCAAAGCGCGGCAAGGGCAAGAAGCGACGCAAGTCGCGGGCCAAGGCCAAGGCAGGGCTCTCGCAGAAGGAGCAGCAGCAGATCATCGCCAAGTTCCGCTCCGGCGGCTACGCCACGCTTGTCTCGACCTCGATCGGCGAAGAGGGCCTCGACATCGGCGAGGTCGACCTTATTGTCTGCTACGACTCGCCATCGTCGGTCTCACGGATGGTTCAGCGCCAAGGCCGGACAGGCCGCAAACGCGATGGCCGTGTCGTCACCCTGCTCATGGCCGGCCACGAAAAGTCGGTCTATGACAGGGCAGAGTCCAAGCGCAAGGCCATGTACCGGACCGTGCTCAAGACGTCCAACTTTTGCATGCCAAACGGATCGCCGCGCATGCTCCCGCCCCACATCACGCCCCAAGTCCGGTTCGTCAACATCGCAGGCAACGTCGACTCGCCAGACCCGTCGACGCTCGCAGCTCGCAACAAGAAGCGCAAGCGATCGGCAGGCAAATCTGGTGTCCCGCGCTCGCTGCTCTTCACCGACGCGTCGATCGGGCTCACCCCAGCACAACGAATGCGATTTGCCATCAACGGGCGATCACGCCCGTCGCCGCTGCTAGGCCCAGCTCGGCCGCTCGGCATGGACATTGCCACATCGGCGCCGGCACCGAAAACATGGAAGTCTCGCCGCCGCCGGCGGTGCAGCCGGCTGAAATAGACATCGCCGCCGGCGGGCCGCCATCGCCGGTCCCGTTGCCCAAACTCTCGCTGGTCGCGGCGCCGTTCGCACAGAGCGTTGCCGACGACGGTTTTGAGGTCGGCGCCTCGAACCGGCGGATGCTCTTTGTCCGCACCATGCGCGCTATCGACGACGCACTTGACGCCAAACTGCACCCTGCCTCCGAGGAAGATGCGCCGCCTGCTAAGCGGCGCGCCACGCGAATTGACTCGCCGCCGCTCTCGCAGCAGTCGTCGCGGCCGCCGATTTCTCCGGCGGAGCCTGCCGTTGCCGACATGTGCTGCAACGACCCGGAGCTCAATGCGCTGATGCATGATAACTCTGAGGACGAGGGCAAGGCTGGCAAGGACGACAAGTCTGACGACGGGTGGAGCGAGGCTGGCAACAACGGCTGGTGGAGCGACGATGACGGGGTGGTGACAACGACGACGACTGTGGTGATGCCATGGACACGCTTGCGGCCTCGCGCGAAGCGCTCATTGCCGAAGAGACCGAGTTTGGCTTTGAGTACTCGGGCTCGCGCGCGCAGGTCAACGTGGTGCTCGACGAGCTGTGCGCGGCCGACATGGCACTCTCACAAGAGTATGCACAGAGTCTGCCGCCTGAGGATGCTGCGCTGCGTGCATCGATCCTCGGATCTGGCTCTGACGACGACGCGTTCATGACGCCGCCACAAGGTGGACGTGCAACAACCGCGGACGAGCCGCGCTATCTTGGTGGGCGGATTCCAGCTGCGCCGATCTTGACCAAGCCGAATGTGGCAAAGCCGGTGAGCAAGGCCAAGGCCAAGGCGAAGACCAAGCCCAAGCCCAAGCCCAAGCCCAAGTCCAAGCCCAAGCCCAAGCCTAAGCCTAAGGCCAAGCCCAAGACTAAGACCAAAGCCGTGACTAAGACTGTGGCCTCGGCCTCGGCCTCGGCCAAGCCCAAGCCCAGGACTGCGGCAGCAGCCGAGATTGCGTCCGAGGTGACGAGCACCAAGAACAAGGATAAGCGCAAGCGCAAGAGCAGTGCTACAGGCAGTGTGAGCGCGGACTATCATGCGCCGGCCACCACGCCATCGAAGAGTGCGCTCGAGGCGTACAACACGCTGTACCAGGCGACGATGGACAGAGTGGAAGCGCGATCGGCGTCGTTGATGGCCGAGGCGAGGCTCAAGGCCGACACGTCGCCAGCAGCAGCAGCAGCATCTGAAGCGACGGCAGCACCGATGGACGTCGCGCAGGATCCACAGGTGGTGCATGTTGCCAGCCAGGACTCTAGCTCGGAGTCAGAGTCGGACCTGCCGCTGTCGTCTCTACCGTCAGTGTCGATGACGAGTGTGCAGAAGACAATGGCGATGCGGCAGCCGGCGGCGAATCCGTTCATGGACGACGAGGCGGACGTCGATGATAACCTGTGCTCAGATGGGAGCTCGGGTTCTGAGGTGGTGGCGACGTCAGCAGACCTCGCCTTTGTGGCCGGATCAGGCTCGGGCGCTGCGCCGACGGCCACCCAGCATGCGATGTACATAGCGTCGCTGCTGTCACCCGTGGCTTCGTCTGTCGCAGCTGCAGACGCCGAGGCGTCGCCGATGCGGTACTGCGCGCGACCGGGCAACACGCACACGCCCAACTCGTTTGTGGTGGACGACGATGCACCGCTATCGGTCATCTCACGAACACCAGCCATCTCACGAACACCAGCCGTGCAGCGAGCTCGCGCCGCGCGTTGGGCAATGCTGACTCGCCCGCAGTGACTGGCCTGCTGCAGCGGCCAGCACAGGCTAGCAAGCGGCGACAGCTCACGTCAGCTCACGTTTGATGATGATGATGATGATGATGATGATGATGATGATGATGATGATGACGACGATGACGTGCCGCTTGCGCGAGGGCCCCAGCCTGCACCATTGCGCTCGGTGCCGGTTCCCGGCACTCGCTTGGACGCGCTGGTTATTGTCTCGCGGGTCCTGGTCTCGTCGATGATGATGGCCAAGTTGCCGAACCAGCTGCCGCGCCTGGTGTGCAAACTGGCGGACAAGGTGGTCATTGTCTCGCAGCGGATGGTGGTTTACCGCCTCTCGCAGAAGCAGCTCAAGATGTCCGAGTTTGGCAAGACGTCGGGCACGCCACGAACAGGAGCACCGGTGAAGCCGGTCCTGCAGCGGCTGGGACAGATCTTTCCCAGAGTTGTGGTCTTTGTCGAGGGCGAGACCGAGCTTGCGACGTCGGCGCGGAAAGACAGCGCGCAGGTCCGGGCGGCGCACGCCGACGCCATGGCGCTTGGTGCGTCGCGGACCAAGGTGTACGACACCTTTGAGCGCCAGCCCACATACCAGCGCGCGCTTGCGGCGCTCGAGCGGCTTTCAGACGTCAGCGTGGTGTGCACGTTTTCGTCGGACGAGTCCGGCGCTACAGTGCGCGATCTCGCCGAGGCCGAGGCCATCACAGGCTACGGGCTGGGTCCGTGGCTCCGAGGTGTCCAGTTTGCCTCCATCTCATCCGGCCTCAAGCTCCTGCTTGGCATCCCGGGCGTCAACCCCGCAGCCGCGCTAGCGCTGGCCGGCACCGGCTGCAGCCTCGGCTCCATTGTCCGCGCGCCCACCGTCGATGCGCTCGCACGCCAGCTACATCCTCCACCGGTGGATCCGCACCAGTTTTTGGGCCCGATCGTGGCCTTTGCGCAGACGCGAATGGGGTGAGGTAAAGTAGCCTCTCGGCGGCATCTACGGCACGAGCAGTGAGCTAAACGCGGCCTCGAGGACCGCCAGCCGGTCGCTTGGAGTGCGGTTGGTGCCGGGTAGCTCGAGCGAGTCGAGCGCGACGTCGCAGTAGACCTTGATCTTGTCCGAGTAGGTGACGTAGACAAGAACAAGCGACGGCGGACCCTTCGCCGAGAGCGAAAACTTGCCGGCGGCAAAGGCACAGACGCGCTCGGAGCAGTCAAAGCGAACGACGTTAAAGGCGGGGTCCATGATGTACGTCATGCCATCCCACGCGCATACCACAAGGTCGTCCGCGCCCGACCCGGTCATGTCGAGTGCGGTGAGCGAGAGTAGCCGGTGCGAGACCTGGATCTCCCACCGGAGCTCGCCGGCGGAGAGGTCGTGGAGCCGAATGGCGCCGTCGGTGGTACAGACGCCGACGTAGCTGTTGTCTGCGTGGGAGAGGCCCACAATCAGTGTCTCGAGACGCGACCGCTGGGCCGAGCTCGGCTGGTTTGGTGCGTACACCTCCGAAGCCGAGCTCCAGGCCGAGAGCGGAAGGGCGAGGAATCGGCCGCCCGGCTGGCCCACAAGGACGGCAGGCATGCCGCCGTGCGAGTCGACGTGCGAGACCGAGCCAACTTCACCGTTCACGTTCCACTGCACCACTTGCCGAAGCTCCCACTCGCCGTCAGCCGGGCCGAGCAGGCGCTCCAGCCGGAAGACGGTGGCCGATCGGTCAGCAGCGCCGACAACCACCTCTTGCCGCCCGTCGCAATCGACGTCGGCAACCCAGAGGCAGCGGACGTTGGTAAGGAGCGGAAACTGGGCCACAGGCGTGATGACCACAGGCCCGCTCCCGCTCCCGCCTCCGCTGGTGCTAGCCTCGGCAGCCATCTCTGGCCGCGATGGCAGTGACGGTGACGACGGCGTCGGCGTCGGCGTCGCCTGGCTCACAAGCGGCTCACCCGAGAGATCAAAGACAAACCCGACGCCTTCGGCGCACACCACCAGCAAAACTGATACGCCGGTATTGAACATATCGCCCATACAGACAGCGGTGATGGTACCGAGGCCCGAAGCGACCGCCAGCGGCTTGGCTGATCGCCCCGAGTAGACAGCCAGCTCGCCCGCCAGCGATCCAACAGCCAGAAAGTGTCTCGGCTGTGACTGCTGGTTCGTTTCCAGCTCGGGCAGCTTCCCATTCAACTCTGGCCCACCGCCTCCGCCTGACTTGCTGCCGGCCCTGCTTGTCCGACCCGACTCTGATCCCACGCTGCTGTACAGCGCAGGACCATCACCACCACCACCACCCGGCTCGACTCGCCCATCCGGCTCGACTCGCCCATCCGACTCTGCCTCTGGTCCGATCTCTTGAACTCGCTCGCCATCCAGACCAGGCCCACCAGCTGCTGCGCCTAGCCGAGTGAGCGGAGAGTGGCCGCCCAATGTGGGAGACGCACTCTGCGACATAGCCGGCGATTTGGGCGAGGCAGCCGGCGAGGGAGACGATGGGGCAGCGGGCCGAGCATGCCTAGGGCAAGGGCCGAGGGAGAGACGTTGCCCTTGAATTCGAGCTCCAAACAGTCGACATAGTCCACTTCTCTGTGGGTCATAGCAGGGGGGAGGGGGGAGGTGAGGTGGTAGAGGCTGCCAGGTGGGAGAGAGGGGGGGGGGGAGGGGGGGGGGGTGATCGAGCGAAGGCGATGGCGATGGCGATGGCGATGGCGATGGCGATGGCGATGGCGATGGTGGTGGTGATGGGGATGGATGAAAGGGGGTAAGAATGGGGTGGTATGGTGGTGGTGGTGGTGGTGATTGGGATTGGGCATGGGCGTGAGGGTTGCTTGTGCTGAGCCGATGGGGACAGTGCCCGAGACAGAGATGAAGATGGAGACTGAGATGACGCAACATACCCAGATTACATCACACATATACATCAGTAACATGTATGCTCATGATATCCATGTTTCGAACACCTTCATCACCATCACCATCACTCTCACCACCATCATCGCCATCATCGCCATCATCGCCATCATCGCCATCATCGCCATCATCGCCACCACCGCCCACGACCTGCCCACCGCCACCGCCACCGCCACCGCCACCGCCACCGCCATCACCCCACTCCGCCATGGACGACCCCTCATCCTCGAGCCATGCCCACCCGCGTTGGTCACTCTCTGTCATCGCAGGCTGGGTGGCGCTTGCTCTCGCGGCAGCCACCTGGCTTATCTCGGTGGCTAAGCCGCGTCTGGAGTCTTGGGGACTCATCGCAGTCCATCGAGTCGGTGGTGCTGGCGATGGCGTGGCAGCTGCGCACCCGCTGTCGCCACCGCCTCGACAGCAGCAGGAGTGGGAGGCTGATGGGTTAGATGCTGCCGCACCGCCTGTATCGTCGTCGGCTTTGGTGGCGGTCGCCGATCCCACGGCGGTGCGGCGGAGACGAACGTCGGCGCGAGTGGACGGATCGGATGGAAGGCGGATGGCGGCAGTGAATGACGTCGCTCGTGATCTGGCTGATCCGCCACGGTATCGTCCACCACCGACTCTGGCCGAGAAGGCGGCCATGGAGCGGGCGGCGCTGCGGGCGGCGCAGGACGCAGAGTACCAGGCGTCGCTGGCAGCCGATCGGGCAGCGGCGGCTGCAGTGGAGGCTGCCAAGGCCCGGAGAGCCGATGCGCTGGCGGCACTGGCCCAGCTCGATACAAATGAGGCGCCGAAAGACGAAGCGGTGCGGATCGCACTGCGCCACCGCCGCGGGCGGGCGGTCCGTGTGTGGGCATCAAGTACACCTGTAGCGCGTTTGTTTGACTGGGCTGTGGCCGAGGCCGGTGCTGCGGCGGCATCTGTTCGCGGCTCGCTGGTTCTGATCGTCGCTGACGGGCCGCTCACCCGACTCACCGAGGCCGCCCACGCCGAGGCCAGCCTGGGCGACGTCGGGCTGGATAGTGGCTCTTTCGTGGTCGACGTCGAACGCTGAGCTCAGACCAGAACCTTGCCGGGATTCAGAATGCCTTGGGGATCGAACACATCCTTGATAGCGCGCATGTAGGCCAGCGCAGTCTTGGACTGCGAGTAGTGGGCAACCGAAGCCTTCATCTGCCCGAGACCGTGCTCGGCCGAGATCGACCCGGCCAGTGCAGCCGTCGCTTCGTACACGTATGGCTCGAGTAGGTGCTCGACTTCTGACGAGTACTCGGGCACAGCAATGTTGAGGTGAAGGTTGGCGTCGCCGAGGTGGCCGTAGCCGACAACAACTGCGCCGTCGACGCCGGCCATCCGCTCACGGACACTCTCAACCACATCGTACATCTGCGCGGTCGGCAGCGATAGGTCGTACTTGTACACCGCGCCTGCGCCCATGATGCCCTCCGTGCACGCCTCGCGCAGGTGCCACAGCTCGGCCGCTTGCTGGCCGTCTGCCGCAAGTGTCCCGTCGAGTACACCCAGCTTCGGCGAGTCCATGGCATGCTCCAGTAGCGAGTCCATGGCGGCAGCAACAGCAGGCTCAGACGCGCCCGCTGCCTCAACAAGGACGTAGAACGGAGTCGCCGTACCGAGCGGATCGCGGCCACGAGCATGCGCCAATACGCACTCGATCGAGGTGCGATCCATAAACTCGAGCGCTGAGACCGCGTCGCCGAGATGGACTCGCGCAGTGCGGACAAGCGCCACCGCCGATGCAAACGAGTCGACGCCAAGCAGCGCCACAGATTTGGCCTGGGGAGCTGGCGGCAGCCAAAGCGAGACTCGCGTAATGACGCCAAGCGTGCCCTCTGAGCCGATGAACAGCTGCTTGAGATCGTAGCCGGTGTTGTTCTTGCGAAGCGATGTCCGCGAGTCCAGCACGTCGCCCGACGGCAGCACCACTTCCAGTCCAAGGACCGAGCCGTGAAGCGAGCCGTAGCGCACAAAGTGAATGCCACCGGCGTTGGTCGCCACGTTGCCGCCGACGTGACACGAGCCCTTGGCACCCAGATCTAGCGGAACGGTAAAGCCCGCCTCGGCGACCGCCGCCTCGAGGCTCTCCAGAACAACGCCAGCCTGCGCATGAACCACACCAGCATCGACGTCAATGCTCTCAATAGCGTTCATCCGACGGAGCGAGAGAACAACCTCTTTGGCGCCACTGTCTGGACCACACCCGCCATCGCCGGCCAGCAGCGGGACCGATCCGCCCACGAGCCCCGTCTTCCCGCCCTGCGGCACGACGGCCAGGCCGGCCTCAGCGCATACCCTCATCACCGCAGCGACTTCATCAGTATCCTTGGGTGCCACCAGTACGCCCGCGCGACCCTGGTACCGTCCGATCCAGTCCCGCGAAGCTCCGGCGAGTACATGCGGATCTGTCTCCAACGACGAGCACACCGCCTCCAGCGCCGCCACATGCCCTCCCGTCACCTCGGGGAATGCCGCCAGCCTCTCCTCGGGGGCAACCGCGCTGCTGCTTCCAGCTCGCACTGCACGTGCTGTCCCCATGACGCCTCGGACCAAGCGCGGGTTCACTCGCCACATCCGTTGCTGCGCCGGTGGGCAAAGAGTGTGGTGGCGACAGGTGGGTCACCTTGGGTCAGCCGGCCTTCGCCCCCACGCCTGTCGTCCGTCGCAGCGTGGGCTACGGAATGCAGACGGATGGATCGGTCAAGGATCGGAAGGGCATTTGATGCGTGTAAGGGCGAAGGAGACAGCCAAAGAAAGATGGAGAGAGGGAGAGAGGAAAGGACTGGTCCTGGCTACGGCTGGGCTCAGTGCCGAGACCGGGAGTGCCGCCGGGAGCGGGAGCGGGAGCGGGAGCTCGCGCGGTGGTGGCGGTGGTGGTCACGCGAGCGGGAGCGGTGGGGGCGGACGTGGGCCACCGCCGACGCTGATGACGAGGCCAAGCTGCTGTCGGAGCTGTAGTCAAACTCACCGGCGGTGACGATGATGATGGGCGCGGTGGCGTCCGAGTAAGAGCCGGAGTAGGATGGTTGGCGGCTGAGCGCGATGACACGCGGGCGGTGTGACGAGCGGTGCGACGAGCGGTGGTGCGGATGACGGCGCGAAGCGGACGAGCGGCGCCACGACGAGCGCGAGCCACCCCAGCGCGACGAGCGGCGCGAGGCACTGTGGTCGTGCCTGCTATGCCTGGAGTGATGGCCGGCATCGACGACAATGTAGCGTCCGCGCGAGTCGCGCCGTGCCATCATCGACGGCTCGCGAGTCATCCGCCGCGACGAGCGCATCGAGGAGAAGCCGGAGGCGCACGACGAGTATGCCGACACCGGACCGCTAAGGGAGTCTGCGCCGCGGTCTGCCGACTCGGTCAGCACATCCATGATCTTGGATTTTGTCGTCGACGGCAGATCGTCGACCTCTGGGATGGCGGCGTCGACGTCGTCCGAGTCGTCAACCTGACGGGTGATGGCGCCTAGGAGAACCGCCAGCTCCCGCTGCGAGTAGCCGTGGAGAATACTCTCCACCCGCCGGCGCGAGAGGCCACGCGCCAACAGCGGCGACGTCCATCCGGGACGCATGCGCAGCTTCCGCCACCGGCCCGAGTCGATGTACTTGATCTTGGCCTTGGCGTACCGATGCGCGAGACGGTCCTTGCTCTTGCCCTTGCCCTTGCCCTTGCCTTTGGCCTTGGCCTTGGCCTTGCCCTTGGACTTGGACTTGGACTTGGACTTGAAGCCACGGCTCGACTTGCGGCTCGACATGACCAGCGATGGGGACGATGACCCTGAGCGGAACAGGCTTCCCGAGCTCGACGATGAACCGGCTCGCGAGCGGGAGCGCGATCTGCGGTGCGATGCTTTCTTGGCCTTGGCCTTGGACTTGGACTTGGACTTGGACTTGGACTTGGAGTGTTTGCCCTTGCCCTTTCCTTTGGCCTTGGCGGTCGAGCTGTGGTGGCGGCTTGACTTGCGAGCAGAAGCATCGGGGTTTGGGGAGAGGGCAACATGGCTAAAGATCTTGCGCTTGACCGCGTTTGGAATGATGTCGATGTCCGGGATGTCATCGTGCGACTTGCGTCTCAGCGCTCCGCAGAGAACCGCCAGAGCTTTTGGCTTGAGCTTCTTGAGAAAGCGGTAGACAGTGCGGCTTGATGCCTCTGGATCCGTCACCGGAGCTGTCCACCCGTCGTCCATGTCGTACAGCCACGTCCGCCACTGGTCCGACATGACCCACTCACGCTGGACACGGATCTTCTGCACAAGTACCGACCGGACGTAAGTATGCTCTCGGTGGTGTGGGAAGACATGTCGTTGTCCCTCTTCCTCTCCCCTTGCCCATGCCCTTGCCCATGCCCCCACTTACCTCGGTCGGCATGTCGTCCTGCAACGGCCAACGCGACGAGTGTGGCTGCGACTGTTACGAATCGCAAACACTCGCAGCCGGCAGAGCGCAATGAAGCCATTTACTTCGCAAAGAGCTCCGATGGCGTCAACACAGTCGGCGGAGGAGCAGGAACTCACCCCCCCCCCCTCATTGATGACGATGCGCGACGATGACGACGTGCACCTCTGGACGCCCAATACATACCTTGATCGCTGGTGTACGCGAGTGCGCGGCTGCCGCTCATGTACATGCCGGTCACCGTGCCAATCGGCACGCTGTGCTGGCGATAATGGCCAGCTCAGTAAATGCGAAGAAATCTCTCAAGCCATCGAGCCAGCCGAGCGACTGCTCGGCCGGCAACCAAGAGTGACGCCCCGCGGTTGGTTTTCGCCAGCCGGCACTCGCAAGCACTCGCACTAACCCCCGCACTAATCCCCGCACTCGCACGAATCGGCAGTGGCGATGATGGGAGAGCGACAGCATAGGACGATGGCGCAGAGCGATGACACAGGGCGATGACACAGGGTATTGACATAGGGCGATGGCACAAGGCGATGATGGGGGATGGAATGGCGTAAAGATTAGCATCAGCCGGGATGATCACCTTAGCGTAGGTCACTCAGAGGCAGATGCCGCCGTCAGGGTGTGGTGTGGAGTACGGTAAGTCCGGGACCGTGTCACGTGGTGTTTGGCGACCACCCGACTCCACGCTCACCATGTCGATTGGAACGTCGCTACTTGTGCTGGCAGTGCTCGCTGCTGCAGCTATGGCAGCTACAAGCGAGTCAATGTATGCTGCGACTCATGCTGATTCCCGACGCTGTGTGTACACCCTGTTCAACACAGGAGGTGGCATCGGCAGTGATTGCGTCTCCCGCATCGATGTCGAAGCGCCGGAAAACAGCGGGTTCGAAACCGGCTTCAACTGCGTCAATAGCAGCCCATCGTGGGCTTGGCGGGTGTATGCTGTTGGCTATAACGCAAACAACCATGTGTACAACGACGTGGGTACCGGCTTTGCCACTATGAAGGCCACAAACTCGGATCAGAACCTGCTGTATGTCTTCGGCCAGATCGGAGGCTATGAGTTTGTCAACGTTCCGAGCGCCATTACCGAGCCTCTGCAGCTGGCGCCGTCGGCGGACACGCTGTACGCAATCACAGGGCCGACGTCTGCGATGGTGGCGTGGGCGTACGACAGCCATACCGTTGTCACGCTCTTTGATCCGTCGACGGACAAGGCGCTGGCCGGGTGCACGCTCGTTGCCGACTCGTCGTACGGACTGGGCGCAGGTGATGCCAGCACGCTCTACTCGACCTGGACCTGTAGCGACGGATCGGCAGCTGTGGTTGCCGTCAACACCACCAGCCATGCCATCGCCAGCTACGCTGTCGGTGGCAAGGTAGTCTCGTCAACGCTCGACCGCGCGTCGCGCGCCACCTACGTCGTTGTCGCAGGACCGACGGGCAAGACGGTGATGCAGCTGGCCAGGTCCGGCACCATTACCCCTATCACCATGCCCACCAGCGATCCGACCGCCCTTTTCCCGTGGCCAGCCATTGCCGATGGCATCTGCACGGCCACACAGACCTCGGACACCTCCAAGTTTGCCGCCAACTGCGGCTCTGTCGGCGGCAAGAACGCCACCATCATCATCCCGGTCTACAAGGGTGCCGGACCGCTCTCTCTTTCGAACTTCCAGGTCGCGGCCTGCTAATCGAAACGGCAGCCGCTAATGGTGAGCCTTGCTGTGGCGTCCCTGATCCCGATCCCGATCCCGTCCGTGGTTCCTGATCCCGTCCCCGATCCCGTCCACCCCCCCGGCCTCCTACTCCCGTCCCTCAACCCGAACACGATCACGATCACGATCACGATCACAACAACCACCCCTTCCCTCCCCACCCCCACCCCTGACCCACCAACCCCGCACTCTAGCTCCAAGACACACACTCGACTAAGAATCATGTCTGCACGTACGTACTGGTACCATCACCACGACATCAGCTCCTGTGGAGACACAGGGGCTGTAGCGTTTGTGGTGCTTGTGTGTGGCGGCGGGAGGGGTGGAGGCAAAAATATGCCCTTTCCCTGGGGGTGAGCGGGCTGGGGTCAGGCCCACGTACGGGGGTATGGAGAAGGTATGGTTTGCGGGAGAGCAATAGCAAGAGAGTGTAACTCATACGCATATGATTTGGGTTGTTTTTAGCAGAGGCTACGCAGCAGGAGATGAAGGAGGCCCGCCTGGACCTCGCCTTCCGCGACGGGTGCGCCCACCTCCTCATCCCGCTCAACCAGTGCCGCCGGTCGACCCTCTACATGCCCTTCAAGTGCACCGACGAGCGCCACACCTACGAGAAGTGCCAGTACGATGAGTACATCAAGCGGGTCAAGCTCATGATGCGCAAGAAGCAGGAGGACGGCAACTCGCCGCTAGCCCCCTGGCAGCGCGCCTGAGCTTTGTCGGCCCAAGTCTCCGCCACTCTCCGCCTCACCGCTCACCGCTCACCGCTCACCGGAAAGCTGTGCTCTTTGTTCTCCGCTCTGTCCTCTCGCTGCATCTGCTTGCGCCTGGGCTCTGATTTCCGCTCCGGCGCACGGCTCTTGCCGCGCTGTCCTCGCCACCCACCTCTGCACCACCACCCACCCGCATCCGACCCATCTCCCACTCCCCGCTCCTGGTTGCTGCCCCTCTCGAGCTGCTCTCATTCCGACAGACCACCTTTATCCGTGCTCTTGCTCGATTGTGCGCAAGGCACGGCGCCAGTCCGTCTCTCACGCTCGCGCTCGGCTTCCAGTGGCGATCGGCCTGCGGGTCCAGCCAAGCCCAGCCTCTGCATCGCTAGCACTGCGCCTGTGTTGCGCGCGCCATGCGCATGGCCTCTTGCCACCTAAACACCACCTCCACGCGGCGAGCCTTGCTCAATCTCAACCTCCATTCGCCTGCCTGTGCATGCCCGACGGGCGCGTCACGCACGCGAGGCCGCATGACCGCAAAGCTCGCAACCACCTCACCTCACCTGCCCAGACAAAGTGAGTCATGTACGGGACCACGACGGTGACATCGCCGTACTCGTCAGCAGCATACTCGTCGGTGGCTTCAACAGGCACGCCAGGCACGCCAGGCACAGGGCTGCGTCACCGGAGAGGCGGTCAAGGTCACCGGCGAGGCGGCAGCGGACAACGACGACAGGGCCGGCGGGTGGGTGGCTCCGAGCCACAGGTCACCCTCGATGAGTACCTTCGTGATCAAGGACGAGTCTTTGTCTTTGTCGTCCTCGCAGGCTTTGTCCTTGCCTGCATGGGCGTCTTCTTTGCCGCAACTGCAGCCGAGACGGCTGACAATGGCTCGTCGGCGGTCATCGAGCGTGACGACTCACTCATTGTTGAGAAGCATGCGGTAGTCATGGCCGTCATCGCCTTTCTCCATGTCATCCTTGCCGCTGCTCTCGCTGCCTGGCTCCACTATCGCGTCCGCAATCCCCGCATCTATGCCCCTCCCCCACCGCCTGCGCCGCCCAAGCCGATCTCACGCCCGCCATCGCGGAATCCAGCTCGTCCGAGCTCATCGCATCTCCATCGCCACGCCTCTGCATCTGGAAGCCACGCCCCACCTCGAACCCGAGGCTCCGCTGACTGCTACTTGCTGCCTTTCGCCTTGCCCTACCGGCTTCTGATCAACAGCCGTCGCGAGCATCGGCACACACCCGTACACCCGTACACCCGTGCACCAGCTACACAAACCCTGTTTGTTGTGCCCTACCTTGCCCACCCTCTCTCACCACCGCAGACCGCGAAAATCCTCCCCATCGCCCCCTCCCCCCTCCCCCCCAGCACTCTTCACTGTCTGACCCGTTCCACCGGCCGGTGACTTCAACGACGGTTCAACGACGGAAGGTCGGGACAGGCAATGCCAAAGGCTACTTACCATCTCGCTCTACTACGTGGGTCAGTAGGGCATGGCGGGCAGCTCACCACCGTCGCTCCCTCTTGGGAGGATCTATATTAGCTTCCGCGACGTATGTTCCATACCCCTCCCCCTGCTCCCCTTCCCC